TGTCGACCTGAGGCAGCTCGACGAGAATGTGAATTTCACTGCTTCTGACCCTGGCCACTCCAAAGATGTTAGTCACTGGAGCCCAGTTCAGGAGACAAATCGTTCCCATCGAAAAAGACGGACTCAGGAAGACCTTCAAGAATTGATGTGGTGCTATCTTATAATAAGTGGCACCACCGAAATTCGAGTATTTGTCCCTAAGGAATCGGGTAGAAACCTCGGATAAATACTTAAAAAAAACTCCGACAAGTAGCCTTGTCGTGTTTAATGGTGGATAATAATAATAATAATAATAATTTAAATTCGAATAAATTTCCTGAGGAAAAACATCATCATCATCATCATCATCATCATAATCATCATTAAAATTTTTTTCGGGTGTGTACGTGTGCGTGTGTTAGGGAAAAAAAAATTTTATAAATTAAAATTAACGCGTGTTTATACACACACACACACACACATACATGTGTTTGCGTGAAAAAGACAACAAGACTTTCACACACACATACACACATAAACACACCTTTCTTTTTGACGAGGGCAACGAGACGATATTCGTAAATGAAAATTTTTCAACCCCGTATACGTCGGAATCATTATTTGACCGTATCGATAAATATAATTTACGTTAATAAATGATATCATTTAAGAATTCATAAATCCCGTCACCGGATCGATGGGCGAATTAAGAGCGCGCCTAGCGGTGAACTTACGCATCAAAAGAAAACATTCGACATTATATTCTTCTCGTATTATTATATATATATATATAAGAAAAAAAAAAATTTTTTTTTTTTTTTTTCTCTCTTTCGGATTCGGAGTAATTTTTTTTTTCTTTTTTTCTTTTTTTTCGGTTCTCTCTTTTATTTTTTAACAATATTTTGTGAACGAGAGAAAGAGAGAGAGAGAGAGAGAAATTGTTTAAAAAATTAATAAAATATATTTCGAAAGTTTTTTTTTTTTTTTTTTTCTTTTTTTACTGATCGGTTTTAATTTTTTCCACATTCCGGTTGACGTGTTCGTGTAGTATAAAAAAAAAAATATAAACCGTTTTATCGCGAAGGTTTTTATAAGACGAAACAAAAAAAAAAAGGAAAATTTTTTTCGCAAAATTTCCAGGCCGGAAGAAGATTTTAGTTGTTGCAGCGAGTGGTGCCTCGTTTTTCTTTTTGATCAAATGGGAGCCAAAGAAAGCATTATCGAATCGGGAAAATGTCATAACACTCATTACTGGGCATCTCAACATCAGGTATATATACATATTATTATTATTATTATTTTCATTATCATCATTACAACCCCTATCCTCATCATCATCATCACGGTTTCATATAATTCAACAAAATCATTAATTATTTACAACTACCACTACTAACATTATAATAATAATAATTTATAAATATTAAACGTTTTGATTTTCAAAATTTTCCAACAGAAAAATTTAAATTAAACGAAAATATTATTATTATTATTATTATTATTATCATCTGAATGAGAAAATTCATCAATCTCTCCCTTCCACACCCCCCAAAATAAAAAAAAAATAAAAAAAAACCAAAAGAAAAGAGGAAAGGAAATTAACCAACCAACCGACCCCCCCTTCCCCTCCCCGAACAGCCGGTTGTGTTCACGCCCATTTCGATTTCTTAAGGTTTATCGTAAATTTCCCCCCCAAAAAAAACGATTTTTTTTTATTATTATAAATACATTAACACGAAAAAAAAAAAAATCGATTGATTTCGAATAATAATAATTTCAAAAACCTAACGACGTGACACGCACACACGCACACCCAAAACAACCCCTCCCTTATTATTTCAATACCCCCGTTATAATTCTCGTACGTAATAATAATAACATCATCAAGTCAGGGCGGGATTTTTCATTTTTTTTTTTTTTTGTATCATCATCATTATCATTATCAATCGTCGCGATTTCGTTTGTTTTTGGTTGTCGTTAATGTTTTTTTTTTTTTTTTTTTATTGATGACTCGTTCAAAACAAACAAACAAACAAACAAACAAATGAATTTTATCCGGTTTCCTATAATGAATAATTTTCAATTTTTTTTTTTACGTCACCGCCATCATGGGTTTCATCGCGAAAGGTTTCGGGTATCGTTGCAAAAATAAATATAAAAAATTCGATACGTGCGTGACTCGTAATTATTATTATTATTATTAATCATATGAAAACGTATATGTAGGTATTAGAGTCGTGTGTGATTTTTTTCCAGGGCGGCGGAGGAGAGCCACTCGGTTGGTGACGGCACCAAGACGTTAATTTAATAGGTGCACCAAGCGCCAACGTCGGAGATATGGGTAATAAGTTATCGTGCTCTTGTGCTCCGCTCATAAGGAAAGCATACAGATACGAAGATTCACCGTGGCAAACATCGAGGAGAAGAGATGGTCATCTGCTAAGGTACAGGTATTGTTGATTTCATCCCAGGTTTTATCGCTCATTTCGTGACGTCATCCTCAATATTTGTTTTTATAAAGGAAAAAACTAATTCGTAACGTATTGATTTCTCTTGCATCATTTCTCATCATCATCAATAGGCTTTGGGCGGAAGTTTTCCACGTTTCTAGCGGTACGGGCACGATAAAATGGCAACAAGTTTCAGAAGATTTGGTACCCGTCAATATAACATGCATACAAGATTCACCGGAATGCGTTTTCCACATAACTGCCTATAACAGCCAAGTCGATAAAATATTAGACGTACGACTCGTTCAACCAGGTACGTGACAAAACGAAAAAACCTATCGTTTGTAAGCAGAGATTATTAAAAGTACTTTCTTTTCCTTTCGAAAGGTACTCGAATCGGTCAAGCATCGGAATGTTTCGTTTATTGGAAAGATCCCATGACGAGTGATACCTGGGGACTTAATTTCACGTCTCCCATTGATGCAAAACAATTTAAAGAATGTTGCGTTAGTATCATTATTATTATCACGAAAAGACAACAACAACAATTTTTCAACGTGGCACAAATACGATAATTTTTCTTTTTGTTTTGTTATTTTACGCTTTCAGTCACCGTCTTTCAAATTTTCACGAAAAGCTTCATCATCGTACAGTTTAAAATTAGATCCGCCAAATAAGCAAAAAATAAAAACAAAACGTAAACCGTTATCGACTCCAGCGAGTCCGAGTAGGTCACGTGAGCCACAATGCACGTGCATGACAGCCGAACAATATGCTAGATTAAGAGCACAAGATCCTAGATATCGTAGGGGTTTTGTTCTATTTACACGTTTAATAACTTACGTAATTAATTTATTATCATTTATTAAATGACACGACGTTTACAGGATCGTCTACTTTACCTAGAGCCACGACAAGAGCGACGGAAACGGATACGGGTGTCAGGAGTGAAAAAGTCACGGCTGCAACTTCGAGCACGTCACTATACGACAACGTCACGGGAAACAAAACGCAACAAACACGCTCAACATCCGCAGGTACGTTTTCATCAATTTTTCACGTTTTTTTTCCCCCATTTTCACATTCGAAACGATAAAAATTTTTTTGCTTTCCAGGAGAAAATACAGGTACGAAAACGACGAGAGATCGCGGAACTCAACAACAAACAGATTCGGGTACCATGACATCAACGACGGGAAAACAAACGGTCATACAAAACCACATTGGATCCCAAGTGAGTTTTTTGTTATTAATATGATTATTATTATTCGATGACGTTTTTTTTTTTGGGGGGATTTCAGGCGAGTCAAAACGAGGAAAGAAACGAAACCACAACCGAAAAATGTAAAAGCGAAGGTACTCAAGCGGGAGGAACTCTTTCTCAAATTTCAACTCAAACAAGTCACAAAAATCAAACAAATAAAAACAGAGATCATCACCATCACATTCTCACATCAACAAGAAGCATCGATTACGACATTGATCTGGTACGGAAACAAAAACAAACAAGCAAATAATAATAATAATATTAAACATTTTTCTAATCGATTTGCATACGCGCAGGTACGTGATTCTTTTCATCACAACAACATAAACAACAACAACAACAACAACAATTTGAATAATTTTTCAAACAACAATCAAAACAACAACACGGTTATAAACAATAGGAAAAACAAAGCCATGAGCAAATCAACGGACGACATGAGAGACGAACAAAGAGACATGAACCTCGATTCGAACACCCTAAAGAAAATGTTAAAACCGATGATGAGCAATGAAAGTCCGGCTACGTCACCGGAAATGACGAGAAGAAGGTATGATTTTTTTTGCGGAAACTGTTACTTGAAACAGGAAGTAATTGATTCTTTTTTGTTTTCTTAAAGAAGATATGCGTCTTCTAATTACTATAACACTCATCATCCTTCTCATTACGGTCATCATCAATATCGAGAACATCAATTCAATAACAGAAACGTCATGAGTGACGTCGAAGGAACGCCACGGGGTCACCGGAAACAAATAATAACCGATCGGGAAAGAAACGCAAGATTTTCCGGTTCAAGGTTAGATTAATAATAACACTAACCGTTCGAAAGATTCTAACTAATATCAAAAAAAAAAGTGTCATTAGAACGAAAAAAAATACACGTGTATCTATATTTTAAGGTCATCTCACGAAATCGGTAGAGGTTATCCGAATCGCGACAGAGGACTTTATTTAGAACTGGAAAGAACTGGAGTGCCGCCACCGGATATGTCGCCACCATCGGACAACGTACTTTTCGACAACCAATGTTACGCCACGACACCGAGCTCGAGTAACGGTAAAGAAATTTAAAAAGAAATTTTTAAAAAAAAACCGAATATCCATCATGGTTGAGTATCAAATCCTTGACGTGATTACTCTCGCAGGTAATTCTGATTTAGATGCACCGACAACGAATTATCGGGGAGGTCACTATCGGACCCCTTCGGCACCGGGAAGTCCGACATCCAGATTGTTACTCGAATACGAAATGCATTTGCGTAACACACTCGCCAAAGGCATGGATGCAGAAAGTTACAGTTTGCACACGTTCGAAGCGTTGCTCAGTCAATCGATGGAAAATTTAGAATTTGCCGAAAGCATTCCAACGTCGACGGCAAGGAGTCCTTACTTGCCGAGAAGACGTTAGTGCCACGTTTTTTTCTTTTCTCTTTGCAAAAAAAAAAAAAAAACCTTTTTTTTCTGCAACCTAATTTAAAATGTTCGATGTTTTCATAGGACCGAGTAGCAGCGCGAGTACAAAATCATCGACTCTTCCACTATCGAATCGTTTGAGCTTCGAAAGGCCCCCGAATTCCACGCGTGATCGCGAAGGATACTACAGCGATCGTAACGAATTAATGCGCGAAAGAGAGCGTGACCGCGGATACCTGAGCGACCACAACACTTCGAGGTAACAAACAATATCACGCAAAAGCAAAACAAAAAATAATTTTTGAGATAAAATAATTTTATGTTTAACTCATGACAGTCGATGCGCGTCTTGTTTGGGCGAATCCGCAAGAGCTCAATGGTTTCGTCATTCCGACGGTTGGCGTTCCGGAAGTTCCGCATTGGGTTCCGGTACCGGATCGGGTATCATGAGTCAAAGTTCGATATCTAGTCACAAGAGGTCACCGTGGGATTCTTTACCATCTCTGAGACACGATAACAGCCGAGACGATAGCAGTTATAAGAGTATGAGAGGAGATTCGTTCGATCAAAGGTTATTTTCCGGTTAAAAAAAAATATTTATCGATTTCCGGAAAACTCGACATACAAATTCACTAAGAAAATCTTTTTTTCTCAGTAAAAAAAATTCAAATTTTTTTTTTTTCTAAAATTTAAGGAGCAGCATTTTCGACAGACAAGATAGTCAGAGATCAGATTACATAAGCGCGAGAGATTCAAGGTACGGAATGGTACAGCAAGCATCAGTTGAAAGTGCAGATTCTCGTTTATGCTACCTCACGTCATCCGAGGTAAGTTTTTTAATCCACATTTGACCGTAAGGAAAATCGTCAGGAAAATTCGTAACGCGGAAAATTTTCACTTAAAAAAAAAAACCCGGGGGGGGGGGCTAGTCACGTGATTTCGAAAGAAAAAAAAATTTTTTTTATGGCAAACACGAAAAAGTCATTAAAAAAAAAAGCACAGGTAAGAGATGAAAAAGAATTTATATTGATTTTAACGGCGTTTAGCGAAAAAAAAAAAAACGCTGCCTCCTTTATTCGTACTTACGCATACACGCACACACGCACACACACACACACGCCAAAATATTTTTTAAATCCGAATTAAATTCCCAAAAGCTTTTTTTTTTTTTTTCGTACGGGGGAGTCGAAATTCTTTCACGAACCGGATTTTTCGTCTTTTTTTTTTTTTTTCTTTGTCAATTTTCCTCCTTTTTCCCTAACTTCCGGTTCCTCTTTTCTTTTTAAATTTTATTTTTATCCTTTTAGCTGTAGAAAACAGAACGGTTTCCTTTATTCCAACATTCAACTTTATTATAAACCTCTTCCTTTCTCTTTTTCCTTTTTTTTCCTTCCCTCCTCTCTTCCTCCCTCTCTCTGCCTCTTCTACCACCTGCCTCCCCCTTTCTCTCCTTTTTATTTCCTCCTTCCTTTTATTCTCTCGTATTTATCGCGTTTTCATCTTTTTGCCATGTCAGACATGCGCACTAGAATTTTCCCTACGAAAAACCCTATTTTGTAACTGCGCCATATTAGACCGTTCTAAATAATAAATATATACATACATACATACATACATACATATACATAAATATATATATATATATATATATATATATATACTCTATGAAAAAATTAACAATAAATAGTAATAATAATAATAATAATAATAATAAAGCATTACGCGGTTCGTTCGTTCGTTCGTTTAACAACAATAATAATACTAATAATAATAATGATGATAATAAGTGTTTGAAAAAAAAAAAAAAAAAGAAAAATTATATGTGGGTGTGAGTTTGTGAGTTATCGCGATCAGTGGGGTAAATGTTGTTCATTTTGCAATTCGACACGGAATTTTATCATTATTATTATCATTATCATCATCATCATCATCATTGATATTATAATAATAACACATCGAAATTCAAAATTTTTACAAAATTTATCGATCAATCACGAAATCTTTTCAATTATTTATTTTGTACGAGGGCGGGGGAGGGGGCGAGAGAAAAGAAAATTAAATGGTTAAATACTAGTTATTGATAATAATAATAATAATGATAATAATAATGTACGGGAATTATTAATAGGGAGAAAGGAAGGAAGGAAAATTGTGTTGCTTGCACGATGATAATACACCCGCACAATCACATTAACGCGTACTTATTACTTATAAATTTAATTATTTTGCATGTAATGTTTTAATAGAAAAAGGTACGTAAGTAATCAGTCAATCAATCAGTCAATCAGTCAGTCAATCAATCAATCAGTCTAACCTTATCGTTGCACGCGAATAAATTTTTTTCGTTTTGACCTTTATTTTACTCTCTAAAACGTGTTAGGGTCAACGGATTGAGAGACACGATGCCAACCTATAATTAGCCGAAATTTCATTTTCTCACATATTTATTTATTTTTCCGAACCTTTTGCTAATCGATTGATCGTTATAAAAGGTCAAAGTTCAAAATATTTCGTGTCGCAAAAATAATAATTGATTTTTTGTTGTTTTAATCAAACATATTGTGCAAAAAAAAAAAAAAAACAACCATTTTTTTTTTTTTTTTTCATTTCGTTTAGTGTTTAAAACGATAATTTAATAAATGAAAACAAACAACAAACAAACAAACAAACAAACAGAAAAACATTATTTAAAATAAATAATCATTTGAAGAAGAAAAACTAAAAAGAAAACAAAGAAAAAAGAAAAATGAAAAACTAAAAATGACAAAATGGTAAAACGTGTGACCGATAATAACTTGTACATGAAAACAATGCCTGTGGTAAGTTTTTTATTTATTTTTTTATTTTTTCTCTCTTTCTATTTCGCGTTTCGAAACATTTTTCCGCGAAAAATTATAATTTGACGTCATCATCGACGTCATACGCCCCTAAATTTTTTATACCTAACCAATCGAAAAAAAAAAAACGCGTAGGACGCATATAAACGCACACAAACGCGCGTATAAAACGCGTTAAAATTTCCAAAATTTAGGTTACTAGAGAGAGAGAGAGAGAGAGAGAGAGAGAGAGAGAATTAGAGAATGAGAGAATGAGAGAATGAGAGAGTGAGAAAGAGATAGAAAATTTAAAAATGGCGCGTTTTGTATATAAGGATTTGCGGGGTTTTCCTTCTTTTTTTTCCTCATAATGCCGCAAAATTTTCATTTTATTATTATTATTATTATTATTATTATTATTATTATTATATAAGTCTCACGAAAAAGGGATGTTATTAAAATTAGTAAAAGGTCGTAGCATGAGAATAAACACACGTGGTCGCTGTTAGCGTGTGTGTAATAATAATAATAATAACCTTCCCTCATCCTTACATACGTACTTTTTTATTACGTGAGCAATAATTATATAAAAAAAAAAAAAAGCAACGGGATAGAGAAAATTTAGAGTGTTAAAAAGAGATGAAACGATACGAGGGGAAAACGTGGTTGTGAGTGTGTGAGAGAGAGAGAGAAAGCGAAAGAGAACAACTGGAAGGAAAAGCTTTGATCGAATCAATAGGAGCTCGTTGCCACGGGTGACCCAATTTCTATCTTATACCCAACACAAAAATATTTCGGTCAGTCAGTAATTATTCCTTCTCGCTAATAATAATAATAATAATGATAATAATAATAATAAAAATGGCTGCCGTTGTTTTCGGGGGGGGGGGGAAACCAAAAACAAAAGAAAAAATTATGGTCGTAAACCGGAAAACATTTTTTTTTTCTTTCTTTCTTTTATTTTTTTTTTCTTCCCCATATCTCCCCATATTTTCGATTTTTTTAGGGAGGGGGGGAGGAGGAAAAGGGAGGGGGAGGTCAAGGGTTGAAAGGGTTGCATCGATTTCAAATTTTTTTTTTTTTTGGGAAATTTTTGAATTTTGAATTCGCCATTTAAAAAAAAAAAAAATTTATTAATCGCATTCATTCGTCATGACCGTTATTTTTCGCGAATCCAGGAGGCTGCGTTTGAAAAAAAAAATTTTCCTTTTTTTTTTTTTTGCTTAATTTAAATACGTAATTAAAAAAAAAAAATATTTTCGAAATTTTCCTCACCCCCGTCGTTTCCTTTGATCTCTTTTTCATAAAAAAAAAAAAAGGAAAAAGGGAAAAAGGAAAAAAAAGGAAAGTATCAAATTGATGAATTTTCCTTTTTTTTTTTTTTTTCTAATTCACGAAATCATTAATTGTTACGTAAACATAATATTAACGATTCCTTTGAGAGATAAAAAAAAGACTCAAAGGTAAGCAAACAAACAAACAAACAAAAAAAAAAACCGTTACTGTCAATTTTGCTATCGTTTAAAAAACTTTATGGGAAAAAATCGAGTTTTTCTTTTTTTTAAACACACGAATTTAATTATTCATTTTTAATTAAGTTTTCGATTTGTTTTTTTAAACGAACGTGGAAATAGAAAAAATTAAAGCAGAAGAAAAAAATAAAAAAGAAAAATAAACGTATTTGACAAATAAATAAAATAAATCAATTTTAATTTTTTTTTTCGGGGGTATCCGCCGCAATGTCGAATTTTTTTTTTTTTTACGGGAAAAAAAGGAAAAAAAAAAAATTTTCTTTTTTTTTTTTCCTTTTTTTTTCTTTAAAGAACGCGCGAACGGATTTGTGCGCATGCGTTCGCTACGGTTTAATTCTAAAATCAAATAAGTGGAATTTTCGAAAAAAAAAAAAAAAAAAAAAAACGAAACGAAACGAAAATTTCTATCCGTTATAATTTCAACTCCCTTTTTTGTTTGCTTCTGTCTATCCGTACTTTTGTTATATTTTCTCTCTCTCTCTCTCTCTCTCACTTTTCGCACCTTTTTCCGTGGGAAATTAATTTATTAACGGTTATTTTTACGGCATCAAATTCCAAAATTTTCAATTTCGAAAACACAATTTATTATTGTTTTCGTTATAAAATAATTAATTTATGTTTTCTAATTATTTAAATTTTAATTAATATCAAAGGTCGCGTAATGGAATGTTTTCCGAAAGGTTACACGTTTCCGGTGACATCCCCACCTCTTTTCCTCCCCTCCCCCTAATGACAAAACACACGAAATATTTCTAATTAAATTTTTAAGTTTCTTTTTTTAAAAAAAAATTTTTTTCTCAGTTTTTCAGACATTTTCGACTCATATTTTTTTTTCTAATAAACTTATCATCATTATTATTATTATTATTATTATTATTATTATTATTATTATTATTATTATTATTATCGTTACGAACGCGTGGTAATAAATCGAAGTTGGTAAAACAATTTTTTTTTTTTTTTTTTTACAAGTTGGAAAACTTGAATAATGAATTCGCCGACTTGTTTTTTATTTATTTATTCAAGTATTAAATCATTTAAATAAAAATTGAACCTACATACGGTACTGACACAAGTTAAAAGTTCCAAAAAAAAAAAAAAGGTTTACCCGAAAAAAACATTAATCATTCAAATTCAGATCCGTGAAAACGAAAAAGAGAAAGAAAAGGAAAAATCCGTTCGTACAAGTTTTACCAGGAAAATTTTAAAAGAGGAAAGAAAAGTTTTCGCGTTCGTATCGAAAAACGAACAAACGAACGAACGAACGGACGTGGAACGAGTTAATTCATTAACTTAAATTATGAGACAAAAAAAAAAAAAAATTTATTTAAAACACGAACGAACGGGAGTAAAAAAAAAATAACAATGACCGACCCGTGTCGATGGAAAATACGTTCGCGTAAAATCGAGTTATACGGTTTTGGAATTTGTATGAATTTTCCAACTGGAGAAAAGTAAACCGTGGCGGCGGTAACGTCG